GCTCCTGGCTCCTGCCCTTGAATCGGCTTGGTTCCAGCTGTTGTGGCCACTTGGGGAATGAATCAGCAGATGGAAAATCTGTCTGTCTCTTCTTCTCTCTGTAAATCTTCCTTTAATTAAAAAACAAAAATCTTGTTTTTAAAAAAAGTGATATTAAAACTACCAGGAAGAACACACCAGGGAAATAATACAAATGAATGAAGGCTGTTTAATAACAACAGCACAAAGATAAGCACAGGAAATGCTCGCAAGTATCAGAGAGAAATCACAGCACCAGCTGGTGAGAGAGAGGGGATAGAAAGGTTCTACTTACATTTTCTTGAAAATAAAAATTTAAAAAATGGGCAAACCACAGGGCAGAGGACCCCCATTTAGTCAATGTTGGGTACTTCCTGGTTATGCTCTGCTGCCCCTCTGTTCCATTTTGTTGGTCTTTTGCCTCCAAGCCTTGGCTCAGCCCTCACCCTCCTCCTTCCACTCTGTTTATTGGAAAGAACCTTTCCCACGTTTTGGTTCCAGCTCAGAAGCTACTTGTGAGAAGGAAGGTTTCTCTGCCTTGGATCAGAGTTCCTTGTTGGTACCTGCAGTCAGCTGTCAGCACACTGAGCTGTGGAACTGTTACCAGATAACCAGACTTGTTTTCGTTTTTGTTTTTCAGATTTTTTTTTAAAGATTTATTTATTTTTATTACAAAGTCAGATATATAGAGAGGAGGAGAGATAGAAAGGAAGATCTGTCCAATGATTCACTCCCCAAGTGAGCACAACGGCCGGTGCTGTGCCGATCCAGAGCCAGGAGCCAGGAACTTCCTCCAGGTCTCTCACGTGGGTGCAGGGTCCCAAGGCTTTGGGCTGTCCTTGGGTGCTTTCCCAGGCCACAAGCAGGGAGCTGGATGGGAAGAGGAGCTGCTAGGATTAGAACTGGCGCCCATATAGGATCCCAGTGCGTTCAAGGAGGGGACCTCAGCCACTAGGCCGGGCTGCAGGGCCCCAGATAACCAGATTTGGCCTCTGGCCAAGGACTGGTCCTGCAGCCTCAGGGTCTTGCGCCCAAGTCAGGGTTGAGCTGCAATGGACGGACTACACGGCATGTGGTTGGGAGCCTGCCACCTTAGGCATTGCACAGGGACTCTGGAAGCACCTAAGAATTACATTGTAAATCCATTTATACGCTGCTAGAAATAAGAGAAAGAAGAGCTATTTGTGATTATTGAGCAAACTTAAGACACTGATGAAGGATAGATTAGTGTGCTCCAAGATATAAAAGAAAACTTTACTGAGCCAGCATGATGGCTCAATCGGCCAACCTTCCACCTACAAGCACCAGCATCCCATATAGATGCCAGTTTGTGTCATTGCTGCTCCACTTTGTAGCCAGCTCCCTACTTAAGGTTTGGGAAAGCAATGAAAGATGGCCCAAGTTCTTGGAACATCCACATGGGAAACCAAAAAGAAAAAGCTCTGGGCTCCTGGCTTCAGACCAGCTCAGCTCTAGCCATTGAAGCCACTAGGGCAACTAACTCGTGGATGGAATATCTATCTCTTCTCTCTGCAAATCTACCTTTCCAATAAAAATAAATCTTTAATAAGAAAGGAAAGAGTGGAACTTTACTCAACAACATGGAACAGAATCAAAGAAAGCGCTAATAGAGAAAAACTTTGTGACAATAGACTGGTGAAAATGTACTCTCAGATACATTGCAGTGGATAACGGTCCAGTGTCAATATAGAGATTCCTTTTAAAAGAAATGAAAAGTGTGGACAGAACGATATATAAGTAAATGTAATTAAGGATGTGAGGAAAATGCAGACTTTTTAGCTATTAAAGAAATGCAAATTAAAATGCGTCATTTCATACCAATTAAACGTTTTTTTTTTTCCTAACCATAAAAAAAAATTTATTTTGACAGGCTTGCCAATCTCGTTTCCCCAAAGGCAGTGCTAAAAGAACAGGAAGCCTTTAAATCTGAGATATGATTTAGAAATGTGTAAAAAAGAGCAATCACACTGCTCTCGTGTTTTTACTTGGCTACGAAAGTGTAAAAGGAAATCATTCCCAAGTGGAAAAAAGAAATCGCCTAATTGTAATTTTCAAAATCAGTAAATGAGATGATTGCCAAGCAGCGCACAGGTTATGAAATTCAATCCTCCTTGCAAGCTGGGAGTACCACCCCCACCCCACCCCCCCCACCCCGTTTCCTGTCTTATAGATTCTTGCAATAGTCATGAAACTCTTGCATCAGAAGTTCAGGACTCTGAATTTAGTTGGCCCAAAAACTGCAGCTAGACCATTGTATTTATGTGTGCTGGTTCCCCACACTTCCCACGTCCCAAGACGGTCACAGACAGGGCCCGTGGTGCACTCCTGTACAGTTAGTGGGCTGCATCAAGGGAGCGAAAGCCTCAACTTAATATCCATTGCCTTGATAGGAAGTGGGAGCCAGCCTGCTTTTTGCCCACCCTTTGAGGATACTTGCTATAAATATAGCTCACAGAACTGGCCTGGCTAATGCACACCCAAGGAGAAGGTACAGCTATAACCTCCAACAACGTCGCATTCATCCCGCAACAAACCCACTCGAAGGTGTTGGGCGACCTACGGCAGGCCTGGCACAGACCTACATGGTGTAGTGACCAAATCTGCCCAAGAACAGCTTCCTGTTAGGCAAGGCACATCATGGAAAGAGAATTAAATAACCAACATGATATTACTTTTTCTAAGTGTTGTGATAAGAAAGAGTGGTGGAACAGAGGGTCCTTGGATAGAATGATCCTAGGTCCTGTGTTCATAGAAGACCTGCCTCTGGTGGTGAGAGTGAGACAGTCTCGAGTGAGGCCAGTAATTGAACCACGCCTCTCCTAGGGCAGGGCATCCTGTGTAAAAGGAATAGCACATGCAACCGTCCTGAGAAGGGAAGTTGCATGTCATGTGCAAGGCATGACTAGCCATGGGGGCTGAAGGGCAACCAGCTGGGATAAATGGTCAGATGTGACGTTGGAGAACATTATTTGTTTCATTTACTTATTTTCGTTTCTTTACCTACTGCTTCATACCCCAAAATGCCTGCAACAGCCAGACCTAGGTCCAGACTACCTTAGGAGCTGGAGGTGGTCCCAAGTCAGGTCTTCCACATGAGTGACAGGTACCCCAACTACCTGAGTCATCTGCTTCCAGCATCCCTTGGCAGGACGCTGGCCTCTGCCTAGGCAGTCTGACCCAGAACGCAGGTCCCCAAAGCAGAGACTTACAACACGACACAGTGTCAAATGCCTGCCTCACCCTGTCTCAGGGAACACTGTTAGCTATTTCCCCCACAAACCCAAGACACCAGACACAGCCAGCCAGCCACTCAGAGGCCTTTTAACGATGGGAAAGGCAGCTACAGGGCAGAGGGGAGTGGGAGCAGAGAGAACGTACAAGGAAAGAAGAGAGAGAGAGAAAGAACAAAGGAGTTGGGAGAGCAGAGAGATGAGGGAGAGAGACAGAGGACAAAGGGAAAAGGCCTCTGTATAGCCTAGAGGTGGGTATGGGAAGTGGGGGGTCAGGGATTGGCAGATGTGGGTGTAAGTGGACACTAGGGATAAATGCCTCAGGGTGAGTAGAGCCATCAATTATGGGGGTCATAAGGTACAGGGATTGGTGGAGAATCGTGGTTTAAACCCCAAAGCAGGAAGCTTACTTAGGTGAGTGGGCCCTAAAGGGGATTTAAGGTAGTGCAGCAGACCTCTGTTGAGTTCAGGCTACTCGCTGGCCTGACCCAGCCCTGGCTGTTGATTTGCAGGGTGAAGCAGCAGATGAAAGATGTCGGTGTCTCTGCCTTTCAAATGAAATAAGTACACAGGAAAAGAAATCCTTGCATCCCATATAGGGATACCCAGGTTTGGTTCTGGTCTCCTGACTGCAGCTTCTTACTGATGTTGACCCCAGGAGACAGCAGCTGGCTGCTCTGATCATTGGATCCATTGAATTCCCAGCCCCAAGGTTCAGCCTGGCCTCTCCTGACCTTTGCCGGCATCTGGGGAGTGAGCCACCACGTGCGAGCTCTCCATGGCACAGCCTCCCGCGCCCCAACCCGGCGGCTTCTCAAATTGATCCAAGAGCCAATGGGGCTTGGGAGTGGAGTGATAGAGGAATGCCTAATTCCTAACGGTTTCCGACCGTTGTCCGAGGATCAATAAAATAACCCCGATTGAATGTGATCGAAAAAGGATCCGTCAGACAAGGAAATGCAGGTGTGTGTTTTAAGGGGTAGAGTGGGCGTGATGGGGCAGGACCGAGGCCGGGAGGAGGTTGGAAGGGTCCCTCTTCCTGGCCGCTGCCAAAGAGTTCAGAAGCCGCAGGCGTTCTGCCCTGAGGCAGAGAGCAAAGTCGGCCAGGCTCCGCGAAGCCCTCGCCTGAAAGGAGCACTACCAGGGGAGCGCAGGACGGGCGGGGTTTAGGAACTTTCTGTTGTACAGATCCCCAAACCCGTGGCTCCTATTTCAAGTATAGAGGAGCCCTGCGTTTGCCAGGATCGCACCGTGCTACCAGGCTGCTTGCGGAAGCGGCACAGGCTACGAGATTCCTGCACCACGGCCGATCCTCCCGGTTTTCTACTGCAGCGGGGGCTGGCCGACCCGCGGGGAGCGCGCTGGACAGGTCCGGCTCCCACTGATGGATTCTGTAGAAGGCCCCGGCCCGGCCCGGCCCGGCCCGGCCCACTCTAGGTAAGGCTCTGCGTCAAGGAGGCGGGGGCAACTCTGAACCCGCCCCTGCGCGCAGACGCTCGTGGGCTTGCGGGCTCGTGGGCTCTGCGCTCGGGAGTTGCTAAGCGCTCAGCCCTCCTAGCGCCACCTGCGTCGGGCCCGCGGAGCTGGTCGGAGCGATCCCACAAGAGTTCCAGGCAAAAGTGTCAGAGGTCTGCCACAAAGAAAGCACCAGGGTAGGACCTTCTGGACTCCTCGCCGCCCCGTGCACCTGCCAGGTCCATACCAAGCTCCAGGGTCCCGGTCCAGCTCGCCATGGCATCTGCTAGCCTACCGGCGGCCGTCTCCAGCGTCACGCTTCCCTTAGGTCCCGGGACCTGCAGCGGCAGCCCCAGCCCGAGCGGAGCGGGCAGCTCGACCCCAGGTGGCGCGGTGCTTCCCGGCCGCGAGCCACCGCTCTCCGTGTTCGCTGTGCTAGTGGTGACGCTGCTGGTGCTGCTGATCGCGGCCACTTTCCTGTGGAACCTGCTGGTGCTGGTCACCATCCTGCGCGTCCGCACCTTCCACCGCGTGCCGCACAACTTGGTGGCCTCGACGGCCGTGTCGGACGTGCTGGTGGCAGCCGTGGTGATGCCGCTGAGCCTGGTGAGTGAGCTGTCGGATGGGCGCCGGTGGCGACTGGGCCGGAACCTGTGCCACGTGTGGATCTCCTTCGACGTGCTGTGCTGCACCGCCAGCATCTGGAACGTGACGGCCATCGCCCTGGACCGCTACTGGACCATCACGCGCCACCTGCAGTACACGCTGCGCGCCCGCCGTCGGGCCTCGGCGCTCATGATCGCACTCACCTGGGCGCTGTCCGCGCTCATCTCGCTGGCGCCGCTGCTCTTCGGCTGGGGCGAGGCGTACGACGCACGGCTCCAGCGCTGCCAGGTGAGCCAGGAACCCTCCTACGCCGTCTTCTCTACCTGCGGCGCCTTCTATTTGCCTCTCGGCGTGGTGTTATTTGTCTACTGGAAGATCTACAAGGCGGCAAAGTTGCGTTTCGGCCGCCGCCGCCGCCGTGGAACGGTGCTGCCATTGCCGGCCACCACACAGGTGAGAGATCGGGTGGGGCTTTAGGATACCGAACCGCCGCTGCGGGAGGAGGAAGAGGAAGTTAGCACACTTGGGACGCGCGTGCGAAAGATGGGTGCGCTAGCGCACCTCGAACGCCACGGGCGTCCGCCCCGAGAGGCTCCTCACTCGCTCTGTTGGCGCGCCAGCACTGGGTTCTCGAACCCGGTGCACGCCAGGGGAGGGGTTTTCAGCACCAGCACACCAGGGCCGGAGCCCGAGTTAACCGCGCGGCGCTGCGAAGGCCGCAGGTGCGGCAGGCTTCCTTCGTAGTGGAGAGGGAGCGTCCAGCACCTGCACTCTTTACTTCTTTTTTGATGCTTGTGTCGTCCTGAGTCCCGAAGCCACCCGTTCCTGGAACCTGCTGGGGCGAGACAACCCACTAGTTCTGCCGTGGAGTGAAAAGAAATCTGTTGGCTGTTCTATCTGCGCCGGATTCCATACCCGTCCCACAAGCTACATTCTTCGCCTTAATTGGGCTGCTCGCTGGTGAGGGAGTGAGAATAGGCATAAAACTCCAGGTATGTCATCCCAACACTATCCTTTAGTGATTCTGGAGACAGAAATATGGGTTCAAATCCCAGGTGGGGACATTAGAGCAGTTATGTGATCTCCCTGGGCTTCCTTCCTTGTCTTTAATTCCTACTTGATAGCGCCCTGGGTGGGGGCTTCGTGACATTAATGTGAAGCACCTGCCGCCTGGTCTGGCACGCTGAGGAGGGAGGATGCTAACAGGATGTTTCCTGGGAGTCTTCACGGTGGCAAACTGCCACTGGAACTACTGAGTGTGTCTGGCAGACTTTTCTCCTGTCATTCTTCAGGAAGCTCTCTCTCCAGCCTGAAGGCTCAAATTTCCCCTGTGGGGGTCGAGAGGAAGGGGTGGTCTCAGGTGTTTCGTGTCAGAAGCACCCAGGCCTGAGTGAATGAGTGACTGCTCCTTCCGGATTGAAACACCTGCAGTAAGTGGAAAATGGAAATGGGGCAGGATGCCCTACCCCCACCCCCGATTCTGGTTTTAGTTCTGGAAAATGAACTCAGACACCTAGGGTACCAGACACATGTGCTTTTGAGAGCATTCTCTTTGATTAAATGGCAATGACATTTGGTACATAGCGTAAGAATGTCAATACTATCGTTGAAAAACGTTGGTAGGGAAGAGCTTGCTTCCGAATTCATGCTGTTGTCTGCAAAGTGCTTCAGAAATGCCTGCAATGATGATAATTCTGATCGCTGAGGTCGGCCTGATTGTTACTAGCTATGTCAACCTGGTGCGCACCCAGAACAGTCGTGAAAGACTTGCCAAGCCTGCTTGTCATCTTTGCTTCACACAGATCCCATTCACGCAGGTGACACAGGGAAGGTGTGGCTTGATGGGAGGCTGGCCCAAAGGAAGTGGCCACTGGTGAGAGCAAAGCGCTCTGGGGGCCGGGTTGTGACTTAACCACTCACTGGCGGTGGGAGCTGTGGCCAGCCCTTCCCCGCATCAGGTCTCTAGTTGCATCGCTAATGCTGGTTTCCATCTAAGTCATGTCCACGAACGAGCCTTGGAGCGCAGAAGGTTGAGTTGTGGCTGGGGTAGTGTTTGCTGCTGCTTTGGCGTTTGAAAACCTTTAAACCTGAACGCTGTTCCCGAGTCAGCATTGGTGAGCCCTCTGGCCATGGCACACCAAGCAGACATGTAAAATAAGGTTCCGGGAGGTTTTCTTTCTGCTTCTGCTCTCACCTTCTTGCTTCAGGGCCCTGGGGAATGTGAGCTGGGAAGCATTTGGGCACTGCCAAGTGCGCTGCTTTCTGCCAGGGATGAAAATCTTCATGGGATCAGAAGGTTGCTCTTGACAGACCACAGCCTGGTCTTTTCCCAAATCCTTGCACTAAAATAATTGCCATAAAGGGATCTGAATAGCTCCTGGAATGTGATTAATCCTTTTAGAACTAGAGAAGGGAAAACAAATGTTTAGTGAACCTTTATCTTTTGCTCCCGTCCCCACCCTTTTTGCTGATTTGCATTCATCCTCTTGTTGAGTGGTCATGATCTGACAGAACTGGCATTCAGTCGCTATGCTAGGATAAGCTGAGAGTTGCTGCAGCCGCAAGCCAGTAACAGTGCATGTCCATCCCAAGTTCACGGTGGGTCTTGCAGCTCCCTGAATGGCTGTTCTCTAGGCAGTAACACATGGATTTATGCTGGTTGGTGTCTTTTAGCTATGCTGGCTTGAACATGTGGCTTCCAGAGTTGCAGTGGGAAAAGAGGTGTGTGGTAAATGACTTTACCACATCCTTGTCCTGATCAGGCACTCGCCATCCTGCTCACAGTCCACGAGTCGGACCCCGTGGGAGCTGGAGGGGAGCATGTGGGCACCTGAAGAGACTGACTTTGTCACGCAGCCCTCATTTTATGGATGAGAAAACTAAAGCAGCAGAAAGTTAGTTCTTCCAAAACCAACGCAGTTACCAGGGGCAGTAGCTGAAGCTGACACCACATCCAGAGTTACTGGTCTTTTCACTACTTGCCATCCATAGTGTCTTTGAGAGCGGTCTTGCTCACAGGTGTTTCACTTGCCAAAGAATGCTGTGTTCAGATCCCAGTCCGGGTGGTTCTAGAGGATCCTGACCTCAGAATCACTCACAGGAGGCCAGTGTTGAGATTGCAGTGCACTGAGCCACCCCCTGCAATACCTGTGTCAGAGTGATGGCTGCGGTCCCAGCTGCGCTGCTTCCATTTCTGCCAGCTTCCTCCTAATACGCCCGAGAAGACAGTGGGAGGTGACTCAAGGAGTTCCTGCTCCTGGTTCAGCCTGGACTAGACCTGGCTGTTGTAGCCATTTGCGGTGTGAATCCATGACTACAAGATCGCTGTCTGTGGCTCCTCTCTCTGTCACTCCTGTCTCCGTCACTCTGCTTTTCAGATACATTAATCATTTAGGAGGGGGGGAAATAGAGCCCTCAGTGAACTGTCCTTTCCAGATTTGCACACAGTTGAGAACCATCGTGGCACGGCTGGGCTTCTTGCAGAAGATGACTTTATGGATACTCATATACTGAGATACTGAGCGCCCTATACATGTTGTAATCTGTTCCCCACGGCACGGGCTGTAGTTATTATCTATTGCTCCATACACTGTATTACTTAGAAAAGGGGAAATAAGAGTTTATATGACTTTTAACATGTGCCACCAATTTTGTTTTTCCTTTTCACAGTTTGACTCCTGTGTACAAGCTGATGTTCAGACCACAGTAGGCATCCTACACAAAATGATTACTTCAAAGCACCCATGGGAGTGCTTTGGTTTATATTAAAATTAGAAGTCAACATAGTTACAAATCCAGCCTTGATTATGCTAGCATTTATGTCAACATAATTTTAATTATTTTTTTAATGGAGGAAGAGAATGATGAAAGTCAAGATACAGACTAAGATGGTGCCTTCAACTCCCTCCCTCCCTGACTGGGACCTGGATGTGTGTGCAGTGTCTAAGAGCGTGAGCCTGGGAAATAAGGAGACTCGAGTCTTTGTTCTTCCTGTGCTACTTACTGTCACTTTAGTCAAATGACTTCATGTGGGTCTGCATCTCCCTGTTGGTAAAATGGAAATAGGACCATCTGTCACATAATGTTCTTGTGAAAAGCAAATGAGACAATGGTGTACATGAAGTGCCTAAAATGATAAACCATAAATGATAGCTGCTATATTATTTTGACTATTTTTCATTCCTCTTATAAACAAGAAAATTGTTTTATTTCTCTCAATGCTCTTCTGGGCTACCCTAGGTGGATTGGTTATTATTGGTTATTGTGTAACAAATCATCCCAGGTTAGTGGTTTAAAGCAGCCAAAGTGTGTTAGCTCACAGTTCCTGTGGGTCAGAAATAGGGAACAGCCCAGCTGCACAGTTCCAGCTTGAGGATTCCCATGGTAGAGAGAAGATGTTAAATGGGATTGTTTTCATCCAAAGGCTTGACAGGACAAAGGAACTCGTTTCCAAGCTCCTTTACTGGTACCATCAAGTTGGCTATTGCAGGAGACTTCAGTTTTTGCCACAAGAGCATCTCACGGCACTGAGTATTATGAGGAAACGTGGGGGGAGGAATCATCACATCTCAAGACAGGAAGCCAGAGAGTGACTCAGGGAGGGTCAGACTTTTTTTTTTTTTAATTTACTTATTTATACTTGAAAGGCAGATTTATAGAGAGAAGGAAAGAGGGAAAGATCTTCCATCTGCTGGTTCACTCTCCAATGGCCATATTGGCTGGAATTGAGTTAGCCTAAAGCCAGGAAGCCAGGAGCTTCTCCCAGGTCTCCCATGTGGGTGCAGGGGCCCGAGGCTCTATCCTCCTCTATATTCCCAGGCCACAAGCAGGGAGCTGAATCGGAAGTGGAGCAGCCAGGGCATGAACCAGTGCCCATATGGAATGCCAAGGCTTGTAAGAGAGGATTAGCCAATTAAGCCATTGTGCTGGCAAACCCTCTTTCTCCGACCCTTTCAAAAACAAACACAAAAACCCAAGCCCTGAGCTGGATGATTCATTCATTCATAATCCAGACTGTTTCAACTGTATCTGAGACATTCTCACTGTGTTTGCTTTCACGGATGTTGTCGGTTTTGAACAACCACTGGAATTGTTGTAGTGGCTTAATAACAGCCTTGTAAGGAATCTTTGCATCCTGGAAGTCTGTGTCCGGTCAATATGTGCACTGGTAGGTTCCACGAGGGATTAGGACCAACCTTCCTTCTTTCAGATTTCCTTTGGTGGTGTTTCTTCTTCATCTTCTCCTTCTTTTCCTCCTTCTCCTCTTTCTTCTTAACAGATTTATTTAATTTTATTGGAAAGTCAGATTTACAGAGAGGAGGAGACACACAGAAAGACCTTCCATTCCCTGGTTCATTCCACAAGTGGCTGCAATGGCCAGAGCTGAACTGATCTGAAGTCCAGGGACCAGGAGTTTCTTCTGGGTGTCCCATGCGGGTGCAGGGTCCCAAAGC